TCTTGGAAATCAATATATAACTAGATAAGAAATAAGATACCACACGATTGAAAATTGGGCTCCATTATACAATAAAAACTTTTTTTTACTGTAAAAAAATAAAGTGTATCACTTTAAAATAATAATAATATTAGTGATAACATGGATTAACATCAAATTACAAAATAAATATCAATGGTTTTAATTACCATAGCAACTGTGCTTCGGGGTCATTGTAATAAGATTATCAACAGTATTAATATTACCATTATCATTTCAATGAAGTGAATGGTTATAGAAAAAAACAAACATAATGGATTATCAGAAGGGGTTTATGTGGAGATATTTGTAATTTCATAGTTGAAACAATGAATCATTTGAAGCTAGACCACTATGGAATACCTGGAAGCACTGGATGGCCATTTCACCCTATTATGGGACTCCTTAGCAGAGCGCGTCCACAATCCCGCACTCTCAAGATTCGAACACAGGACCTACCAGTCTCGCACCAGAGCACTTAACCGATAGTTCACTGAGCTGGCCGGTATCCAACAGTGTTAATGTCTAGCTTCAACCAATCCACGAAGTTTGAACAACCATTTATCAATTGTCTTCAATGAGTTGATATCTCTACAACGGACATGGCTGAACTCCACTGGTCACTGCTTCCCACTAGAACTCAAGGAAATATCCCTTTCAGTCAGTCACTAATGAGCATATGATTGAGAATGATGACACTTTTATTTTTTTTTAATACTCACATCACTTGTACGTACTTTATTATTTATTTTATTTAAACACATAAATATTGGTACAAGGAAGCACCAGATAAATATGCGCCTCACAAATCTCATTCGATTTGTGTGAGGGCTGTGATACTGCCCAGGTGCCCGGACTGAAGCAGGTGGTTTGCTTAGGAGGCCACACTCGGAGACTTTGACCTACAGATCTGACCCACAAGGCAGTGGAGCATCGTGAGGAGATGCAGTCCCATGGTAGCCGGTGATCAACGGTTGATTCGTACGCCATTTGTTCCTTCAGGATCCTGTAGCCAGCCCATGTACACCACTGGTTTGGAATCAGGGTTTTCCAACTCCCCTAGGTGAACTTTCCATGTCCACCAACCCGGTTAAAGCGTCGGACATTTGCTTTTCGTCCTCTGAATTTCGTAAACAACACCCCCGCCACGAGAAGGCAGTGAGTGAGACTTCCCTGTCAGAGGCTATATATTCGTGTGGCCATATGAGAGCATTTCGAGAGGGAGAGCAGACTCTCTCCACTCTCGGCCGTATCAGGGCATTTGGGGGCTGTACATACTTTAGTTATGTGTATCATCTATACTAATAAGGAACAAAACCTATATGAAATATAATCATACTTCTTTTTCTTGTATTATACACTTGTAACTCTTTATCATAAAAAAAGTACAGATCGATCTATATATTAGTTATAGAAACCAAAATATATTCCCATTTAATACTTATGTACTTCTATTAGTTAATGATGAATGGCCTTTACCCTAAAAATAAAACAAGTTTAAGGTCAACTGACGTTTTATTTTTTTGTTTCACTGTGGAAATAGTTTTTTTTTTGGTTGTTGTTGTTGACTTTTTCTGATAAGATTTTCTTTGTTGTTAACTTGTCCGGTAAACTTTTTTTTTCTAGAGTGTGTGAATGTGTGTGTATGTGTGTGTATCACGTGTATGTACTTCTTTTCGTTTATGATGTCATCTAGGATATAATGTATACAATTAGTGTGTGTGTGTGTGTATGTGTGTGTACCTTATGTGTTTAGCCATATACTGTCTTTTCTATAATTAGTGAATTGAATCATACATGTCTTAATTATCAGAGGGGGTTTTGTGGAGATTTAGTATTTTTCATAGTTTAAAGCATGAGTTAGATGCCAGCTCAGTGGTCTATCGGTTAAGGGCTTCGGCTCGAAACTGGTAGGTCCTGGGTTCAAATCTCGCGCGAGTGGGTTCGTGGGTGCGCACTGCTGAGGAGTCCCATAATAGGATGAAACGGCCGTCCAGTGTTTCCAGGTTTTCCATGGTGGTCTAGCTTCAATTGACTCATGCTTCATACATGTCTGTTTACTAATTTTTTTTTATTTTTTTTAATTTTTGGATTGATGACCGGTCTATAAAATTTTTATTAACCAATAGAATAATTGCGATATTTAGTTTGTCTATCAACAAACAGCCTAGATTTAAGCCTAATTTGTTTGTATTCAATCATTGTGTGTGTGTGTGTATGTGCGTGTATGTTTACATATTGTACATAAAGTAGATTTTTTTGTTTGTTTTTTTTCAAGGTCATTTTTGTAATTTGTTAAGTAGGTAGCATATTGTTCAAGGGTCAAAGGCTAAATATATGGATAGATGGATTATGAAAATAAGCCTTTTAAATGATTGCCAAAAGGAACAAACAAACAAACAAATGATTCATCCTTTGGAATGAATAACGGGATGATTCATCAATTAGGTGTTTTTTTTCTTTGGTAATGCTAGTTACCCTGGTGAAATTGTCCTTTTATTCATCCCGTTGTAAGGTCATTAATCTTGTATAAGATAAAGAATGGAATAGGAGATGAATATAGTAACATTTCTAGTAAACTGGTGATTTGAAGAGATCTACAGGATACACTGTTTCACCATGGTTTTGAGTTACTTGTCACTCATGAACAAGGTTCAGCTACAATCTTTAGGGAAGTGATTCTCTCTGACGTATTTCATCCGATGTTGTCTAGAATCATAGTCACAGATATTGTCACTAAGCTATTCGCGACGGGATTGACCTTTTGTACAAATGAGATATATTTTAAAATGATTGATCACTGAGTAATTACTAATGTCATGTATGTCAAGTATTTCTTAATGCTAATAGGAATCTATCGATCAAGGGTTTCCTACAGATTATCCTCAACCAACACCTTGAATTGTAAAAAGATGTACAAGATGTAGAGTTGCTGAAACTACTGGTCACATTTCATGTTAATCTATTGAATTCTATCAGTACTAAGAAACACTTGATATATACGACACCGATCACTACTCAGTGATCAATCGATCGTGAACTCAGCTTCATCACATATATGTATCTTGATCAGTAATGAACAAGAATGAATCGGTTCCTAATAAGTTGACAGTTTCATAGAACTGACGTTCGATAATATTTTTATATTTGAAAGCGTGAGTCAATTGAAGCTAGACCACCAGGGAAAACCTGGAAGCATTAGACAGCCATTTCGTCCTATTGTGGGACTCCTCGGCAGTGAGCATCCACGACCTCGCCTACTATGAAAATATTAAATCTCCACAAAAACCCGTTCTGATAATAATATTTTTGTAGACAAGTTTACAGATAGCTTAGTTAAACACCTGTCTATGTAATCGTGGAGATATTGCAGTAAATATTCACGTTTCAGATTTGTGTAGACTAACTAATTCTGTATTTTAACTACGTGATGTTGTGGTGGACCTTCATTAAAAGCCTTGTTTCAAATAGCAAAGTTAATTTGTCGTTATTTTACTCCATTAAGTCATTTGTGACATATTCATCATAAAGCTATCGGGTGGCTTGTAGTAGAACCTGGGACAAGTGTTTCGTCTTATCTGAATCTCGTTAGGTGGATGAACCTAGATTTTAGCTTTAATGGTCAAATTGATGGGACGCTTAACTCATTAGATAATATTCACTTAGTATTGTTTGTTTGAATTTTCCCATTGATGTTTAGGACTGCAACTGGTCTGTCTCTACTTGGCATATGTGCATACTGTGTGCGTTGCAGTCCTAGACATCAATGGTAAGATTCAAACGAACAATACTTAATGAATTTAAACTTCACCCCATTGCACAAGCAAGTGGCTATCACTACTCAGAAGCTGAGTGGATAACGCGATGGCGTTTGAAGAGAAAGGCACTAGGTCCGAGTCCCAGAGTGAACATCAACTCTGAGATGCAGGTACATCCAGCCGACGAGTCCCAAATAGGGACTTATTCGATAATACTTCATCGTTTGAAGCAAAAGTACGTAGGCTTAAGTCTCATTGTAAAAATTAACACTGGGATCCAGGTACAGCCAGACAACGATTCTCAAATAGGAAAAACATTACTTCAAAGATTCTCCTGATAGATACATATCAAATTTCAATTATTATTTCATTGATTATTCTGATGATGAATTATCACTGAATGGGTGGACTAATGAAAGTGACAGAATGTTAGTTAGAATTCCTTAATGACAACAAGTGCTATACTCAATATTAATGAACTTCTATTCGTTGAAGGTTATTTTTGACATCCCTCGAACATTTCTCGATAAGGTATCCAGAAGCAAAGGACAAATAGAAAATCGTTTCGTCCAGTGAAAATGTCCTAGAAACTCCCAGAAAAATGCCCCACTGATTGGGTAACCACTTATTTTGTTACGAAAGATTCGCTATTTTTTCAGAAGCTTCTATTGTAGTGGCCGAGAACACAAGTGGGGACAATCGAATGCATTTGAATGCACAAAATGCAGAACGTCGTAGGGAAATCTGAGAACCACCATAGAGTAAATACTTCATTTGCAAAATATCAATCGATCAATTGTCTCAGACTTTGTTGTTCCTTCATTTACATACCAATCACTCTCTGTTCTCGTTCACTTCTATTCGATCTTCTCAACCTTCTGATACCCAACAGTTCACTTTCGATTGATGATATATACTACTTATATCTGTCGACATCAGTTGCACGCACCACACTATAATCTCCAAGTTACTATAATCCTATACATACTCTTGTCTTCTGTGCATCAATTAACATCGAAGTAAAGCTTCTATTTCTACCTCCCGTTTTCTTACAATCATTCTTAGCTCAACTGTGAGAGAATTTAGGAGATGGATCTAGGAATCGACTAAGATATCATTATCTTAAGAGTTCGAGTACAAGACCTATCACTGATATGATAATCTGGAACCAAACGAATGAAGAAATAATTATCTTCTTTTCTTTATATTTTCATTATTAAACAGGTGGTCCAATACACAAGAAATGTTTAGAACATTGGGATGCATGTTGTGACTTCTATTGTCATTTATTAAATAATTCGTTCAATAATTCATTATTACAAGCATCAACAACATTTGATACAACCTCAACAATAAAACCAAACGTTTCGTCACCGTCGTCATCATCATCAACATCAATTCTATCAAATTTCAATGATTCACCTTTGCATAAATCATTTATGGAAGGTTTATTTCGACTTTATGAATGTCCAGCATGCAATCAATATACATTGTATAGATCATCAATTCATTCAACAGTAACTTCCACTTCTAATGTTACTGGTAAGTGAATGTTATTATTATGATGATGACAAAAATAGGAAAGAATTTAACCTTCATACTATTGATAACCTTGAGTAACTGCAGAAATGATTGATGGTGTTAAAGGTTTCTCTCTTATTGATAATTTAACAAATGACTGGGTGAAACTGTAATTTATGGATGATGTTTGAGCTGTACTAAAATGGTCTTGAGATACTCCAACCATTTCCCAGGGCTGAAAAGTATTTATAAATTAGCGTGCTCCCAAATGCCCTGGTACTGCCGAGAGTGGGGGGGGAGTCTGTCCTCGCTCTCGAAATGCTCACACACGACCACGCATATACAGCCTCTGTCAGGGAAGTTCCACTCACTGCCTTCTCACAGTGGCATTACTGTTGTTTACGAAATCGAGAGGATGAAAAGCGAATGTCCGGCGCTCTAACCGGGTTAATGGATACGGAGGGTCTATCTAGGGAGTTGGAAAGCCCTGATTCCAAACCAATGGTGCACATGGGCTGGCTCCAGGATCCTGAAGGAACAAATGGCGTATGAATCAATCGTTGGTCACCAACTACCAAGGGACTGCATCTCCTCACGATGCTCCACTGCCTTTTGGATAGGATCTTTAGGTCAAAGGTTCCGGGTGTGGTCCCCCCAAGGAAACCACCTGCTTCAGTCTGGGCACCTGGGCAGTATCACAGCCCTCACACAAATCAAATTAGATTTGTGTTGCGCTTTTTTTATCTGGTGCCCCATTGTACCAATATTTATGTGTTTAAATAAATAAATAATAAATAAAATCTCCACAACACATTATAACTTGATTGATAGAATTCGATTAGCACTAAATGTCACATTGGTTACTACGAAGTGATCAGTCAGAGTTGACAATAAAAGCATTTGAAATCAACTAATTATCTACAATAATATATTTACTTACAGATTGTCGAATCTTAGGAGTCCCACAATAGGACGAAACGGCCGTCCAGTAATTCCAGGTTTTCGATGGTGGTCTAGCTTAAATCGACCCATGATTTAAACTATGAAAAGTCTTAATTTGACGAATGGAGAGCAACAGCTGATCAAAATATTCACAGTTACCAGTTTGTAGTAACCAACCAAATGATTTTTCTCTCCTTTCACATTTTTTATTCATAAAAATTTATTTACTCTTTTCATTTACAAATTTATTCTTATTCAAGGACATTGTTGTCATAAAATGGGATCATCTGATGATGATTATGCCGTAAACAATTTGTGCGCACCTAAGTAGGGGTATACATACACATATAGATATTAATGTTGTGTGTGGGTGTGAGCGAGAGAGCGAGTGAGAGAGAGAGAGAGGGGAGTAGCATAGTTAAATGTATAAACAATAGAAGTAATCATCTTGAGAAAAAGATACTTGTAAACTTAAATATACTAACTTTTACCCAGTTAAGGTAACAAGACAGAAATGATGTGTTTCTGAGTTAGATACTTCGTCATTAATCTAAAGTCTTTTTTTTACCTCATTATCATCTTATCAGAGATGTGAATGCTTATTCCACTTGAAAAGTACATTTTTCTCTGAATAAGGTTATTGGTTATGATATTTAACCTCAGACATTATATACATATGTAGTAAATTCTCTTTTATGGTCATTTTGGAGTTTATGAACAAAGGTCAGTTCAAAGAAACTTTCCAACTATACGAAATCAAATACTTCTTGAAACTTAGAAATTTATCAGAATGGGGGTTTGTGGAGATTGTATCAGTTTTAAAAGTTGAATTCATGGGTCGATGTCAACTAGATCACCATTGAAAAAATGTAAGCACTGGACAACTGATTCGTCCCATTATGGAACTCTTCAACAGTGAGCATCTATGATACCACATAAAGGACTTGGACCTAGGAAATTCGATTTATCGTGCTAACACTTAACCTTTACACCATTGAACCGGTACCCAACAGTGTTGATATATAACTTCAATCGATCCATGATCTAGCACAACCCGTGACCAGTACAGTCCAATCTGTGTCGGCTAGAGACGGGCACCTACTTCAGACGATGGATCAAGGGTAGCACAAGGTCATGGATTGACTGAAGTTACACATTAACACTATTGGGTACCGGTTCAGTGGTGTAAAGGTTAAGCGTTGGCACGCGAGACCAAAGATCCTGAGTTCGAGTCCCGTATGTGGGATTGTAGATGTGCATTGTTGGGGAGTACCATAATAAGACGAATCGGTTGTCCGATGCTTCCAGGTTTTCAATGGTGGTTTAGCTTACATAGACTCATGAATTCAACTACTAAAATCCTAGAAAGCACTCAGGAAATTGATCAAATCTTGAGATCTATTTATGAAAATAATGTTTTAAAGATAGTAAGTTTCATAGATTCCATAATAGGTTTCAATGGGAATCATGAGAAACATTGAATATATGCCTTCAGTTCTAATTCCAGACAAGGGATGAATCCAATTTGCCTATCTACACACTAGGTTAGTCGGCTTCATATCCTAGACTTCTAAGACTTCCAGGACTATTTATAATGACTTAATCAAACATGAAATAGAGGCCTAGCAACAAAATGGAATAAGATTTATTTAACCTAGATTTCATGAATTTTATTTGATGTTTATCCATGTACTAGTTATTTTCCATTTATTCATAATTTGTCATGAACTAGATCAATTAATTGAATGAACTCATTAGCCATTGTATTGAGATCATATGATCTAACTATCCTATAATGAAAACAATAAGATCTATTTTAAATTGTTGATTTCATATGCATTTCTTGATGTTGACGATTCTACGTGTGGATTTGTGTGTATGACTTCACGTGGATACTTCTTTATCTTTCCTGACTATAAATATTGAGTAATCGCCAGTTAGAAGTTAGCAGTCTAGTTAATCGACATCTGGATAATGTACATTCTTCTCGCTGCATATTGCCAGCAACCACGATATCTCTAATTAGGCCTTCTGTAATCATTACAGCGAAAGGTCTTAATCTTTTCAGAAACGCACCTGAATAGGTTGTGCGATTAATAGGCATAATGATGTATTAAAACAAACGAAATTAGATAACTTGTTGAAATATCTAGATGACAGGAACAGGCAGCCCAGATGCTTAAACAGGCCGCCTAATAGAGAACTAAACACACTTATGATATACGTACGATTCCTAATTCCGACAATCTTGTTTTTCTTTTTAATTGAAAGGAAGTTCGGTAACATTATTTATTGATGAGAGCATAATAAGTACAGAGTAAAGCTGAATTTCAAGCAACCGCGATGAATTTGCAGTCAGTTCTTAACCAATCAGAAAACAGCTGTTAGAAGTGAATATGTTTTTAGGAGAGAAAACAGTAATCTTGTAATCAGAAGGGGTTTTGTGTAGATTTCAGTATTTTCATAGTTGAAAGCATGAGTCAATTGAAGTGAGACCACGGTCATCCAGTGCTTCCAGGTTTTCCTTGGTGGTATATCTTGTTAATGCTTATCAATACTTTGAAGTTTGTTTAATTTCGTAATCATAAGAATAAGGAAATTCCCTGTTTTACTGGTTAATCTTTACAGGTCAGACATCACAAACATTACCATCTACACCATCCAATCATTTTACAAGTGTTTTATGTGCTATTCAATATGCAACTGAAAAACTAAATCAATCTGAAAATCCACTTCAATCAACATTATTACAATCTGATCCATTTTCACAATGTAAACAATACACCTCGAATTCACCAGTGGATTGTATTGGATCAATGGAGTTATTACCAAATTTCTTGGATGATTTAAAACCTCAGTCGAAAATGCTCATAACAAATTCATCAACAACGGTTAGGTCACATTCTTATGTTCAACCACCATTGATTACGGATAGGTTCAGTGATATTTTAAGGTAAGTCAATTTGGTACTACCACCATTACTCACACTACTACTACTACTACCACTACTACTACTACTACTACTACTCACATTAATACTATCGCTGCAACAGCCATGATAATAATGGTAATCTTAATGACTCTGACTGTACAATGTGTTTTATGTTGTCACAAAATTTTACTGATGTCAACCAAGTGTACAGTTCAGTCCATATTGACTTTGTATTTATACAGCTGACTGGGTGTCGTAGTTTTTCATCTAATAAACTGTGAAGAAGTATGTGACTAAACTTTTTTATGGATCAGGGTCATTTAATCATATGAAGAATTTGAAATGGATACATGGAATGTACTCAGTGAGTTATAATCATATGCTCACTAGTGATTGACTTCAAGATATATGTCCTGGAGTCGTAGTGAGAAACAGTTACCAGTGGAGTTCAACCATGTCTGTTGTGGGTCAACAACTCACTGAAGACAATTGGTGAACGGTTGCTCAATTACGTGGATTGGTTGAAGTTAGACATTAACACCGTTGGATGTCGTCCAGCTCAGTGGTCTATCAGTTAATTGTTCTGGCGCGAGACTGGTAGGTTCTGGGTTAGAATTTCGTGAGGCGGGATTGTGAATGCGCACTACTGAGGAGCCCCATAATGGGACGAAACGGATGTCCAGTGCTTCCAGGTTTTCCCTTGTGGTCTAGCTTCAATTGACTCATGATCTCAACTTTTAAAATACTGAAATCTCCACAAAACCCCTTCTGATTACATGGAATGTATTAACATGTAATAACAATCATAATGATTTACAGTGTCCAAAAACACACAACTTAGATGAATCCAAAATTAGACGTACAAATAGATACAAGAAATGAACTATAGTTCCAATGTGTTATAGGTTTCATGTTCAATGGTTTTTGCTGCTGTGGTGGGTCCTCACCGGGTCGATCATAACGATCTCATACACTGTGGTTATCAGGGGTTAGTCTTTATTTAAAATCACTTCGTAATATGCAGTTAAAATTAGAAGGCATTGGGTAGGTGTTTCTTTCTAGTATGCGACTCTTCAGAAGTGATATGATGCGAATTGATTCGATTCGATAATTCTTAGCATCAGGTCCCAGCTCAGTAATCTAGAGGTAATCCACCTATCCGGAAATTTGAAGTTCCTAGATTCAACACTGCTGATGAATCTCATTCTAAGATGAAATAACCATAATATGGTGGTCAACGGGAAACCCTGGACCAGGGTTTTGTGCTACTTGGCACTCGTCAGTAAGGTGTACCTGTAATCTTGAGGGAATTGGTTCTCCCTGACGGATTCGATTCCGTGCCACTCAGCTTCACAGTCAGAGACGTTACCAGTGTCGAACCACCTAGACTAGTGACCACATTGTAACTTGATCGATAGCATTCGATCAGCACTAAGAAGGTTTGAACACGCATGACATTGATCACTACCCATTGATGAAATAACCATCGATACCCGAAATTAAATCAGTCTAAGAAGAAATTGACCTACAATGCATATTGAATGAATTCTAATTGAAATTGTAATGTTTGTCTCCTTTCTTCATTTCATGTTTACATTTTTACCCTTGTTTCCTTTTAACAAAAAATCAATCTATTTACAGACGATTTTCATTAAGTCGTGATACGAATGATCCTACTAAATTTTCAACTAGTAATACATCAAGTAGTATGAGTAGTGGATATCATAGTGGTTTATCAACCGGTGAACATACTGTTGATCCTAGTCGCCGTTGTAGTGATAATTCATATGATCAATTTATGTTTTCAATGAAAGGAGAAGATCTTATGAAAGGGAATGAAGAGAATTCTATACCATGGGGAATGACAAATATTCAAACAGGTCAATCAATACCAAGAGCATTAATCAAAGGGGCAACTATAAATAATCCAATTAAATTACCAAGTAGATATTTATTATTTTATGATAGTTTTATTTATTCTGTGTATATTCCATTGTTTGTTATGATCGTTATGAGTAGTATATTTCGGTGTTTGATTCAGTGAATAATACACAGTTAGTCAGTCAGTCAGTTACAACGTAGAACTTCGTACGTACGTACATCAGTTCGAGTTGCCATACCACATTAGCACAGAGATGCAGTTGTCGATTCAAATCCCATAGTGGTAGAAGTAGTAGGAGTATAATCAGAAATCCAAAAGATTAGGGTTTGAAAATGTTATTGAGGGAGTATAATCCAATGAAATAAATTTGGAAAGAGAAAAAACATGGAGACATGGAGAATTCAGAAGATTAGAATTTGGTAGAACACAAAGAGTGGATGAATCTTCGCCATTGTAAACAATTTTGAGCCATGTCATTCAAGGTCTCTAACCATCGGTTGTTATGATCTCGCCGATCCCAACCAGGTAGTCTACACCTACCAACATGACTCAGTCCACTTGTCAGTGACTTCATGGATTTGTGCCATGTTTTGGTCTGACCGCCCCTACCTTTCTTCCAATTTTCTCCTACACCATAAAAAATTGGATGTCGGGGTAGTCGGTGGTTGGACATACGTAACACGTATCCCAGCCATCTCAACTGATGAAGTTTCACTACTTCATCAATCGATTTGCCATTAATAATACACATCCATTAACAATTCACTAACTACATACGGAAAGACAGAAACCTATGATGATTGCGTGGGAATTTCTGTTCCCAAAAATTGAATAATAATAATGTACACAACTCATAAGCATAAATATATAACTGGATTTGTCAAGGCAAGGTGATGTGTGGTCAGTGACCTTGATTAAGTGAGTAATACGTCAGTTAACAATAGTCTTCCAACATTTGGATCTCTTACCTACCATGTAGCTCTGTGACAGTATTTGATGTGTCCAAGTTCCTTAGAATGTCATATTTCCTTTCTTAAAATTAAACTTTGGCTTTCTTCATCAGTTTTGCCTGTGTCAGTTTAAGCTGGGGCATATGATTGGTATCGCCTAGTAACCTATCTTCAAAAATGCAGCTTTAAAGGCATGTAACATTACGGAAAGAATTTTTGTTTAGTATTTCTCCATTTCGTAAGGTAGACAAACATTTAGTCTTACATTTTGGGGAGAATGGTTTGTAACTGTGTTAGGATTTCATTATTCACCAACCCAATCAGAGTTGAAAAACTTTCAAGATAAATGAAATGTTTTAATAATTGAATTCATGAGTTGATCTAAGCTAGATCACTATTGAAAACCTGAAAGCACTGGAAGACTGTTTCGTTCCAGTGTGGTATTCCTCAGCGGGGCGCATCCACGATGCCATATACGGGACTCGAGCCCAGGAAATTCGGTCTCACGTGTGAACATTTAAACTACACCACTGAAACGGTATCCAACAGTGTTGATGTGTAACTTCAATCGATCCATGATCTTGAACAACCCTTCATCCATTGTTCGAGGTGGATAACTGTCTCACACCATTAGACACGAATTGAACTCCACTGATCACGACTTCTCACTAGAACTGTAAGAAATTCATCATGAAGCTAGTCACTAGTGAGCACTTGAATAAAATGGAAATTTTTAAACCATTAGTAACATATTTATTGATGACTTTTAGTGAAATCCAAGCTGCAGATGTTGTAATGAGTAATGTTAGTGGTATAACGAGTAGTTTCGTCAGATTTTAAAAGATGATTGAGTACAGGGTTTAAAAGATTACTGACAAATACAATTGGTGAATCTTGAATGGAACTTAAGGTGTTTTTTTTAAATTGTTGTATCTATTTTTTCGTCAATTAAATAACATCGTTGAAGGCATGAATCAATTGAAGCCAGACCACCAAGGAAAACCTGGAAGCACTGGACGGTGAGGTCGTTGATGCACACTGCTGAGGAGTCCCACAATAGGACGAAACGGATGTCCAGTGCTTCCAGGTTTTTCTTGGTGGTCTAGCTCCAATTGGCTCACGCTTTCTACTATGAAAATACTAAATCTCCACAAAATCCCTTCTAATTAAATAACATCATTTTATCCCGAAATTTCAATTATACAAAGATGATGCAGCTATGTTAAATGACGTTACCAAGTATTCAATTGATTCATCTACGCCAACAACAAGAAAGAGTTATTCATCAACTGTGAACTTGGATGATCTTTTTGACAGAAGTTTAGATACTATTATGAATAACAATACTACTAACAACAATGACAACAATAACAGTATTGGTAACATTAATCTTATGAATAGACCTCTGTCAGCAATTGGTAGTCGACGTCATCACTCTACATCTGATGGTACTGGAAATATTAGCTCTTCAACTATTGGAGGTATTACTAATACTACTACGACGACTACTACTTCTACTACGATTGCAAATACTGCATATCATCATAATGTTAAGTCGAATACTACATGGTCAAATGATTCAATTAGTAAATCAAGAATGACTCATTGGCATGGTAATAGTAATGTTGAAACGAAAATGAAGAAGGTTGTTAATACTAAAGGAAATATATTTCTACAAAGGCATGATTTCAATGTATTCATGGTTAGTTGTATTGTGTTATTGATGAAATGATTGAATTTGATTGAGAAGCATTTTTGTTTTATAGAGAGTAGTTTTATTTGGTTACGGTATTGATTATGGACTGATAGAAGTTAAAATACTACTACTGAAAATCTGGAAGTACTGAAGAATTATTCTGTTCATTTTGAGACTTTCTAGCGGTGTTAATTCATTATTTTGGTAAATATTATTCCCAGGACTTTTAGATCTTGTGGGGGGGGCTGAGGATGATTTTCAAATTCAATTAATTCGAGATATTAGGTAACTGTCAACCACCGCGATTAGTTAGTGACCATCTTGCTGGACTCCGTTGGCATACCCTAACTGATGTCAGTTAGAAATAAGTACTCCCCATAAATCTGATGTTATTTTACTGAATCCAATTGAAATAAAGCAGATAATAACATGAGTAAACTAATGATGGGTTAAAAAATGTGACCAAATTAATTGAAACCTCTTGGACTTCCTGGTTTTCAAAGGTTGTCAGTCCGTGACGTTAAGCTACAAGTTCAATTGTATGTTCCCCAATTGCTAAGATGAAAATTTTACAGTGAAAGCATTGTTTTAAAAAAGATTCGAATGAACTTTAAGACGAAAAATTTGGTCTTCAAAGAGTAGAAGTCCTACATAGTTAGTATCGTAGTGAACAAGAAGTCGAGTGAGGACTCAATAGCTATGTGGATAAGGTGATGGCGTTTTTTGAGGCGAACGGTACTGTGTTCGAGTCCCAGAGTGAACTTCAACTCTGAGATGCAAGTACATCCACCTGACAAGTCCCAAATAGGATGAAATTCGCGTCCTGAATTCCACTGCTAGCCACTAACCATCTTTGCTTATAACTTACATCATAATTCTAAGGAAAATACTACACACTTTTCATTAGTTACATAATTGTTTCTCTAATTATACTAATCTGAAATTTTGCATAATACCTTCATTTTAGAATTTACCAAATCATAAACAAAATGCTTATTTCATTCAAATGGATGATGATAGTTGTACAGGAAATGAAGATACACGTGCATTTCTGTTAGCCCAGTTAACAAATCATCGAGTTTCTGAAGTTTACTGTTTAGCATGTCAACAAATCCTGCCAATTTATGATCATTTTCCTGTGATAGATGGTATCTTTTTCATCAGTCCATTGTGTCATCGTTCTAATGAAGGTCATCGTAAGGGTGGTGGCCTACGAGTTACTTGGCATACGAATGGTATACAGAACCAATCTGTTCAACAACAACAGCAACAACAACAAACTCATCGAGCACACAATACTACTACTACTACTACTAATAATAACAATGATAACAGCAGTATCGGTAACCATTTAGTGTCATCGACAAATGATTATCAGTCTATAAATGAAATAGCTTTGAAACTTTTAGCTCCATTAAAAATTATCTCACCACCACCTGGTTGTCTTGGACCTAGGCAACAATTAAATTCAACACAGCATAATATGATTAATACTGGAGCTCTTGGGGGTGGGGCCTCAAATCAAGGTGCTGGTAGTAATAATAACAATAGTAGTATACCATCTAGGTTTTCAACAAATCATTCATCTACTAGGCAATGCCGTTATTTACATGCTTTGTGCATGAATTGTATGCATTCAGAAAATTTGGTTGCCACTAGTCAAGTAAATGATTTCAAAGGAATTATATGTAAAATTTGTAGTAAACCTTGGTCTGGTAAGTTGATAGATTTCAGAAAATAAATATTCATTTATGAATTTTTCGTTTGTTAACCATTTTTAATTCATTTATGAGATACATATTAGTGTATTAGGATTCGAGCCAATACTTTAAGCGTGAGAACTAGTGATACTACCTCATTGTCTAAAGTGAAGTAGGTAATTGGAGCGGAGTTCAAATATGTAACCTAGCGGTTGAAGGTTAAACATCTTAATCACTGATCCAAAAGAGAGGGGTGTAGACTTATAGCATACAACTCTGTTTGAAGCTAGCAGATAGTAATAACATGATACCCCGTCTTATCTCTCTTACTAGATCAGCCAACTTGGATATCAAATGTACAATCATGACAAGTCTTTTTCATCACTAAAGAATGACGTTTTGTGATTTATAAGGTTACAATTCTATTAGTTTTTGTTGGGGTGACGTAAGATATTCCTCAAAAAACGTCCAGAGGAGCCTTGAAAACGTTGGGAAACATTTTACCTAATCAACATTAAATAGACATTTCTCAGAAACATCTGGAAAGTGAAGAGTCACGTATCGCATATCTGATTGGATGATTATTTATCCTGCTAGGGGTTCCAGGAATTTCCAGAAGCCCAAGGCCATCCAGAATGCTATAAACATCCTCGATTTTCTGTACATAAATCAACTTTGAAGTAAAGCGTTCTTTCCATATTTCGGGCCTTCTCTTTCGTGTTGAAGTTGTCGTGTAGATTTACCTTGAGACTATTAGAAGAACTTATGAAACCGACTCAAACATTCAGTCAGAAGATTTGTCAGTTTTAATTTCTTATATTGTTGGTTTCTATAGTTCTATTGTTCAAGAATGATGAAGACTATGTTGAATACATTACTCATTCTAACTGAACTTAATTTTAGTATCTATCATATTTACTCTTGTTTGTTTAGGCAAAGTCCCTAGTTGGTAGTTTGCTTAAATCTTTGAGTTTCAATTTTAGATTTAATTAGATGAATTCATGAATCGATCTAAACTAGACTACCATTGGAAACATGTAAGCACTGAAAGACAGTCTTGTCCTATTATGAAACTCCTCAGCAGTGCGCATCCACGATGGCACATGTGAGACTTGAACTCAAGATTTTCGACCTCACTCATGAATGCTCAACCTCTAGACCACTAAGCCGGCATTCAAATGTATAACTACTACCATTGTGAACAAGAACACTATGTGGAGACAGCTATCATTTGTCTCAGACTTTGTTATTCTTTCATTTTCATACCAATCACTCTCTGTTCTCGTTCTTTTCTCTTCGATTTTCTCAACCTTCTGCCACCAAACATTCCACTTTCGATTGGTGATGCATACTACTTACATCTGTCGATATCAGTAGCACATATCATGATACAATGCAGGAAAATTAGTTGTACAGGTTGGCGGATGAAGATTATTGAAAGCTAATCACTGTTGAATGAATGTTTTATATACAATTTGTATGTAATAAGACCGTAATTTTTTGTAATCATACATATATAACCTTTAAAGTGATAAACATTAGATTCGAATATCATTGTAAACATCATCACTGGTACATTCAGCTGTTGAGTACTGAATAGGATGAAATGAGTGTTGAGGATTTCATTTCAAACAACCACTCAAAGATACCAAAAAAGTTGTAACACTGTGATACTTCTTTCAGTAATATACACAGACAACAGAGATTGATGAGAATTCATTCACAAGTATCAACAACAAGATAATATGGGATTTCAAATTAGATGATATATATTAACTTGATCATAGATGTATTAAAAGGATTATTTGTATTTAGTAGATTTATCAGACAGGTCTGAGAGTAGGATACTACGTAAAGGTTGGTTGATAAAACAATGTGTCATTAACTGAGATGTCCAGGACATGTGTTACATATGCTCAGGTTCAAGAGGATTTTCTCAAGATGGTAAAATTTTCACAGTTTTAACTATAAACTGATCTTAGCTAGACCACCATTAAAAACCTTGAAGCACTGAATGAATGCTTCGTCCTGGTATGGAACCAACCTCAATGTAAACCATGAAAACTTTAGAGTCTCCACAAATCCCACCAATATAACTAGTAATAATCATATGGTCACTAGAGACTAGCTTTAGGATACCCAAGATACTTCGGATCCGTTGGCCAGACACTATCAACAAAAAGCTACTTTGGGAGAGAACAAACCAGATTCCAACAGAGGGAGAAATCAGGAAGAAGCGCTGGAAGTGGATAGGACACACATTGAGGAAATCACCCAACTGCGTCACAAGGCAAGCCCTCATCACATGGAATCCTGAAGGCCAAAGGAGTAGAGGAAGACCAAGGAGCACATTACGCCGACAAATTGAAATAGACATGAGAAGAATGAACAAAAGTTGGAAAGAACTAGAAAGGAAGGCCCAGGACAGAGTGGGTTAGAGAATACTGGCCAACGGCCTATGCTCCATTGGGAGTAACAGGCGTAAGTAAGTAAGTAAGTAAGTTCTTGTAAGGAGCTATAATCAGCAAAGTTTAAGCATATCGAGTGTGAGACAATTATCCATTATAGGAAATAGATAAAGGTTATACAATCTAGTGAATTGACTGAGGTTAGACGTTGACACTGTTAGATTCAATTTCCAGATAAGACGTTATAGATACACATCGTTGAAGAATTCCATTCATCAACTGCTTCCTGATTTCTAATAGTTGTCTAGTTGAAATCAGTCAGTCATTTAAACTATGCAAACGTTTTTCTTTTTTCTTTCATTCAGTCAAATCTATTGAACATGTGAAGAAATTGTCTATAAACTATTTCAGGTCAATTTAAGGTTAAATAGTCTGTTCTTGTCTGGAATATAATCATCATGCATGTTCCCTTTCTTTCTCTTTCTCTCTCTCTCTCTTTCTGAGTGTCTCTCTGTCTCCTTGTAGACACACATTGACATAGTTCTTCAGGCTTCATGCTTCTTTTTCGAATGGAAATGAGATTCTTTTTTTATTATTATAGAAATCCAATTATTCTCTGTCTGAAATCAAAATGAGTCACTATTATATGGGGTCATTTATTCTATGAGGTAATCAATACTTTAGGAATTGGGGGATAGTTAAGAGTGAAATAAGAAAAAAACTGATTGCCAAATTTTTTGGCATCATAATCATCATCTTTTAAGAATACTAGAAGGGGGAGGGTTGTGGATATTGTAGTAATTTTATTGGTTGATATCATGAATCAATTGAAGCTAGACCACCATGGAAAACCTGTAAGCATTGCTGAGGAGTCCTACAATAAGACAAAACGGCCGTCCAGTGCTTCCAGGTTTTAAGAATGCATTGAAAAGAAATAGATAATGAATTGATTGGCAATAAAACATCTAGATAGTCAGATAGACAGGTAGACAGACAGACAGAAGTGGGCATAAAGATATTGGTTACTACTCAAGTAAAGACAAATAATTTATAGTTGAAATCATTAGTCAATTGAAGCTTGACCACCATGGAAAACCTGAAAGCACATTGGTCTAGAGGTTAAGCTCTCGCACGCAAGACTGATAGGTCCTGGGTTCGAATCTCTCGAGACGGGATCGTGGATGCGCACTGCTGAGGAGTCCTGCAATAGGATTAGACGGCCGTCCAGTGCTTCCAGGTTTTCTGTGATGGTCTAGCTTCAATTGACTCATGATCTCAACTATTAAGATTACTAAAATCTCCACACACAAAAAATACATATATCTCAAGTCTACAAGTATTCAGTCGTTTATTGAACAGCTTAGTATCAACGTCTAAGATTGTCAAACTGAATAAAGTGGATTCAGATCTTCCAATGGAGAAGTGGGTTAGTGTTTTAAGGCTTTCAACCGTCAACTACTGAGTCCCAAGTTCAGACAACGCTCCATCTTTTACTGTTTGGACAATAGGATTGTATCATTTCCTCCTATAGTTATAGTGTAACTCATTCCTAAGTGTTTAGTGAATGAGTTAATTCAAACATTCACACCTTGTTGTTCATTTTCAACTATCGTGAAACCAAGTTCGAGGAGTGTATCCTGCTGATTACCTACAAGCATCTTATATATTAGCGTAGTGTATGTCATCTAGACTACTTATGGGTGATAGCTAATTTATATCTGATATCCAAACTGGGCAATAAATACGCTACACATATGGTGTTATTTGCAATGAACTATACCTACAACATTGCTTGTAAATAATACGTCGCGGAACGTGGTCTCGAAGTGGTTAGACGGAACAAAGAGTCACAGTACAGAAAAAGCACAGTGTTGTCAGGACACTTGGAGACTAGATGAGAAGACTGTTTAGATTTCAGAACACAGCAAAATATGCAAATGGATGACTAAAGATAATTCTGTTTGCCTATTGTTTAATTTTACATTAGTCATCATGAATTTCTTACTGAAACTCTAACAGTTATTGCTGATTTCCAGAAGGAGTTCCTCAACTTGTTTAGGAATCGCGTGATAGGGATAAACAGATTCTCTATCACGACAACATGTCTGCGTATTCAGTGGCATTTATCTACAAGTCCTTGACACCATAATGGATCACCTTCGTTACTCACCAAACTTAGTTTTCTGATGTTTCCTTTTGTTCTCGAAACTCAACGCTGTGATTAAAAAGCGTTAAATTACTGCTATACATCTGAAGAGTTTGATTTCTGAAAACTCCCACGGATGTTTTTAATAATAAGATCGAGGCTGAGAGTATTACTACGAATTTGAAGTACCTTTGAGAGGATAAGATTGTTTTACCCATAATTTTGTAAAATAACAATACCTTTTTATTTCAGCCTTCAAATTTATGGGATAGACCAGTTTTTTTAAATTAATCACATAAACATTGGTAAAATAAGGCACCAAATAGATATATGCCACACGAGTTACTTGATTTATTTGTGGACTGTGATACTATCCGGGTGCCCACACCCAATTAGGTGGTTTTCTTAGGAGGTCACACTCCGAGCCACTGACTTAAAGGTCTGATCCACAAGGCGGTAGAGTGACGTCAGGAAATGCAGTCACATGGTAGCCAGTGACCAACAATAGGTTCATACTCTATTTGCACCTTCAGGATCCTGGAGCCCATGTGCACCATCGGTTTTGAATCAGGGTTTTCCAACTCCTCTAGGTGGATCCTCTCTATCCACTATCCTGGTTATAATGTTGGACATCCACGTTTTATCCTCTTAATTTCATAAACAACAGTAATGCCGCGAGAAGTCACTGAGTAAAACCTCATTGTCAGTAGCATTTTACATGTGTCCATGTGAGAGGAGTGAACTGACTCTCTCCACCCTTAGCCATACCATCATTCTATTCGAATGAAACTCATTCCTATTCTTCTATGCATTGAAAGAATTTTTATCTTTGAAAATGTAAAGATTATAATAGATTATAAAACTCGTTGTACTTTCTCTCTCTCTCTCTTTCTATATATGACCTTGTTATTGGATATGAGTAGAAAGAAAAAAAATTCCTGTACTTTCCCCCCTCTTTTTATTTTATTTTAAAAGTACATAAAAAACAAGTTCTTTTTTTTCAGTAAAAACAGGGGAAAGTACATATTTGTTGCCAAGAGAAAATTATTATTATGTATATTACAATATTTTTTTATTTTTTTAAAGAGATCTGATTATTCAATCTTATATATTCTATACTTGGATACCATCATGTGATAAGATTCTAAATAGTGAACAGGACTCAGTAGCTAAGTGGATAATGTCGATGATGTTTGAAGCGAACGGTACTGGGTTCGAGTCCCAGAATGAACATCAACTCTGAGATTCAAGTACATCCAGCTGACAAGTATCAAATTCGCGTCCTGAATTCCACTTCTAGCTACTATCTACCTTTGCTTACTATTTGTTGTAATACTGTTGTTGTAATACATCAAAATGACTTTAGATTTACGTCTGTTAACTGAGATCTTCAGTTCGACTTAGTGTAGTTCTTATTATAAAAGCGTTTGTTCACAAATTGTCATAACTTGTGCCTTTTTATTGTATAATGTGATAATACCGACAATTAGAGAGCAGTGAATTGTCGATCGGACCAATGATACATAAAAAACTCGTGCCAGCAGACTAGAGTACTTATCGGTTCTGCTTCTGCCTAGCACAGCCAGTTAAGTCCAGAACACCAATAACAGCTTCTGTAACAAACAACATTTGTACAAGATTTAGCCAATTGTGGCTGTGAATAAGGGAGATAGTAATTGATAAACAAGGCATAACTCAAGAATGGTAATTCGTATAATAATAGTTCATAGGTCAAAATGAAGCTTATAATAAGAGGGATATGAATATGAATAGTTCAGTTACTTAACAATTATACAACAGGAAATATACGCATAGTATTGGTCCATAAATGGATCTCAAAAGTTACCATTCATTATTCTTATCAGGATATAACACAAAAGTAAATTAAAGTCAAGATAGTGGACATTTTACATGTTAAGTTTGTTTATATAAGAAAACTGATCCCTTGTAAAATGATGAATAATATTCAATCAATGTTACATATTTGGTATGTTCATTAAGGTTTTTATCTGACTATAGGTGTATTAGTTCCATCTGAAAATCATGTTGAAAAATAGGAATGTAGAGAATTTGAAAAAATCATTCCTATATACAGAATGTTAACTGGAAGCTCTGGAATGCTGCTTCATTCTAGTGTAAGACTGCTCAATAAGTGAGTATTCACGAACCCACAAACGGGATTTGAACCTAGGACCTAATGTCTCGTTCATGAACACTCAACCTACAAACTATTATAACAAGACAGTCGTTTAGTGCTTCCAGGTTTTCGATGGTGATTTTACATTGATCGGTCCATGATCTCAATTAAAACTCTGAAAACTCCACAATCTTATACTGATAACATAATTTAATACCTCAACTCGCTTATTTCTTGAATATATCATGTACTATTATATAGTTAAGATCATGAGTCAATTGAAGCTAGACCACCATGGAAAACATGGAAGCACTGGAAGGCCGTTTCGTCCTATTGTGGGACTCCTCAGCAGTGCGCATCCACGATCCCGCCTCGCAAGATTCGAACCCAGGATCTACCAGTCTCGCCCCCAAACACTTAACCAATAGACCACTGAGCCGGCCGGCATTCAACGGTGTTAATGTCTAACCTCAACCAATCCACGAAATTGAGCGACCAACTTCCATTGTACTGTAATATCATGTACTAGATAAAGAGATCATTATCATTTGTAAACGTTTAATTGTAACACTGATCATTTAAGAATATTCTAACAAATATTATAGTTATTTTTTTATTCTTAACCTTTAGGTACTTCATTACTAGTTGGTGGTCTTTATACTTATGATATATTTGCTGCTGTACCATGTTGTTCAGCTCATTTAACATGTGGTTCATGTCAATCACGTTTAGATAATTTATCATTATCATCCAATTCAACTTTATCATCATCATCATCATCATCACCACCACAACCACCACCAACAAATACTCTACAGTTATCATTAAATGATCTACCTCATCAACATCAATATCATGATCCCGATCAACTTTCAATGAATAATGATCTCAAAATTAAATCTTATCCATTAAATTATTTTAGTCAATATAGTAATTTAATTATTTGTCCATATTGTTCTAAAGTGGATTATCATTTTGTTAAATTATTTGAAGATTTTTATGAAATATTATAAAAAACAATCATTTTTTTAAATTGAAATATATATTTCAGGGTGGAGTTTATACTTTACATTTCAGGGGGGGGTTTATACTTTACATTTCAGGGAAGGGGGTGTTTTGTTTTTTTGTTTTTCCCCCTTTTTTTTGCTTTTTGTTTTAACAAGTTAATGCAATTGAAAACTTTCAAAACAAACATACAAACAAAAACAGCCTTGACAACTAAATTAGAAATATCCAATCACTTACTTTTTTCAGCTCCACCTTCAATGTTTTTTTATTCAGGTTAATGTTTTTAATTATCTTTACCCTTTTTTTCTGTGTGTGTGTGTGTATGTGTATGTGCTCAAAATCAATTTTATTGATGTTTTATTTTATGTGCTTTTTTGTCATTTATTTATTGTTTTCAGTAGTATATTACCTTTAAAAGAGTAGTACTATATATCTAGTTATATAATAATTTATATAAATGTGAACTTGTTTATATTGAACACATTGAAACAATGTAAATGTGCGTGTGTGTGACATAAAGCGCCAAATTGTAAAAAGAATCACCATGTTCAATGGAAATTTACCTTATATTATTATTATTATTATTATTATTATTATTATTATTATTATATACATACCTATTTAAAGACATGATGAAGTTATTTTGTTAACTTCATCAGTTGTCCAATTTTTTGTTTGTTTGTTTGTTTGTTGGTGTTAAATTCAATTTTAACAGCGTATAGGTTTACATTTAAATGGTATTCAATTCATTGGTTGGAAATAATTATAATAATAAATAGTTTCCCCCTCCTGTCAAAAAAATGAAACATACACTTCATCTATTTTTTTTGGTTGTTGTTGTTGTCAAGGTTACAAATATGAAAACCTTTCATTGTTTTTATTCTTTAGCTTTTCTTGTAAGAGTATACTTATTCGTTATTATGTTATGGGATCTTATTGGTTATAGCATTTTTTTTCTCTATTGAAGAGATGAGTAGTAATAAAAATCTCAGGGGATTGTTTTTTTAGTGCTCTTCTCCTCCCCCCTTTCCTCCCCTCTCCCATCAGGTATATTTATGTTGTTTCTAACTTGATAAAATTAATTATAATTGTTATAATAGTTTGTTTATTTATTTTATTATTCACTTAGTATTGTTTGTTTGGATCTTCCCATTGATGTTTTAGGACTGCAACTGGTCAGTCTCTAATTGGCATAGGTGCATACTGTGGGTATTGCCTCGATATAGCCTAAATTCACAAGTATGGTAAGCAAAGATGGATAGTGGCTAACAATGGAATCCAGTTTGACGCGCGTTTCATCCTATTTGGGACTCGTCAGCTGGATGGCCGAGTGGATAACGCGATGGCGTTTGAAGCGAAAGGTACTGGGTTCGAGTCCCAGAGTGAACATCAACTCTGAGATGCAGGTACATCCAGCTGATGAGTCCCAAATAGGACGAAGTGGCGCGCATCCTGGATTCCACCGCTAGCCACTATCCATCTTTGCTTACTATATTTTGTTATTTGTTTAAGCTAAATGATAACTATAGTTGATAAAGCTTTCTAGAAGAACTGATTAGCTAATCTGGATAATGTTTTCCAATTACTTTGTGGTACACCTTTGGTGTGGTTTACTTATATCCACATAAGTAGTATATGGTGATGGTCAAACATAGAATGTATTTTGGCAGAAGATCGATAAGGAACGGACAGGAATGAAACGCAATCGGTATAAAAAAATGCATGAACAATGAGATCAGAGAAGATGGACTGATATTTACAGAAGGAACAGTTAAGATTGAGACAATTGATTGATAGTTTTGCAAATTAACTGTTTACTGCATGGTTATCAGATTTTAGTGAGATAATATGTAATTTGTGCTTAAATACATTCGATTGTCCCCAGTCGTGTTCATGTTCACTACACACCTACTAGTAGGGGCTTGTGGATGTTTTTTAGTAGGGAGTCATTTGATATTGAAACTGTATGGGTTTTAATGTAAGGTTCTTATGTACAGCTGGGAGGGCAAGATGGTGTTCACTCCTGTTTTTTTAAAAATCAATTTGCCTAATACATTTAGCAAATATGCATACACGGGTCCCATACCAATAGACTCCACAGAACATATATAAGCACCGATACTGTAATGGCAGGGATAGATGGCCTCCACTTTCCTGTTTGATACATCTCACTTGTTACGATTTTTGTGAAAATACATACTAGATAAACGCCGTGGATATTCAAGTCAATTAGACTAATACACCCTATAGCATACATATGGGCATAAATTCTAACTAATTTGGTATCTATCACGGTCAAAATGGTAGTTTAATCCAAGTTACTATATAGTGGTAGTAAATTAGGCTTCTCTTCATCTACCGCCAACTTTCACGAAGCCTAGTTCGATCAGTATTTCCTCATGACCATCTCTGATCATAGAGACTTGGAAGTGTTTTAGTCGATGTTTGAAACATTTATTGGACAGAACTGTTGATGAAACGTTAAAAAAAAAAAGAATAATATGTAATTCATTCATTCTTTCGGATAGTGGTTATCAGTGGATTCCAAGATACCTGTTTCTCTCTATTTAAAATATGTCATCTAGATGTGCCTACATTCCTGTGGTTTGTGTACAATGAGAGTTTGGGGGATACAAAACCTTTTAAATAATAATAGATACCACGCCCATTGAACATGTTGGTGGCTATTGTGGACCATAATATGCTAAGGTTTGGAGTGAAATTTTGTTGGTTTGAAACTCAGCATGAATATCAACACTAAAGTTCAACTTACAATTCAGAAATAGGATCGAACTAGTGACCGGGATTCCGTTGCTAGCCACTATAGAAATATAACATTTTTTTTGGCTACAAGTAACATATCACGGGATCCTAATATTGAGCTCATAAGCCAAAAAAAGATTGATCAAATGCAGTTTAAAAAGTTTACGGAAGTGTGGAAATTGTCAAAGACTTCGGAAAGCAGATCATGACGATTACATTTCCTTTAAATTTTTGAAATTTTATGGTATTAATTTCAGTGAAGCAGAGGTTTTTTTCAATGACTTCATAAATACTGTCATAAAACCGAGTAATTGTTTTCCGTAATGTTATGTGGATTTATCGTCTTATCAAAAAGAACTGGACTGCAGCAAATAAATTATAACCTGTTGTACCACCACTCATTTTCATTAAAAAGTGACAAACTCCTACAAAATGGTTAGTCTAAAGTACATACTCTAGCAAGTGTGGGATATGAAAAGTAATGGGGCAAATATCAATATGGAGTTAGTAGTTAAGAGCTAGTTTTAGGGTTTGAGATTTTATCAAGAACTGATATCAACTTTAATGCAATAATCATGAAATCATATTCTTATCCTAACATCTAGCGTAAGAAAGCACCGGAAAGCAAGCTGTTTGTGAATAATAATAACTGTGATCCTCAAACAGCGTTTAAAAATACCTATTAATGGATCAAGGGGTTATTGTACCAAGATGCTTATCATCAACTACGTATTTGCGACTAAATGGCTATTTAGTAAAATGTGACTGTGCAGTATTTGTATTAACTGATAATTTTTTTGAACTTGATTCCCCGCTTGTTACAAATTCCAAATATAGCACATTTAGTTGTGCTCATCTAGTTCTACCTTCCTTGAATTGCACTGTCTCAGGGGTTCATGGTTAGGAAACCGATTTGAATACTTCTAATTACAATAGGTCTCCAGTTCGTTCATGCAATTTGTGAAGGTTTATTGACAAATCGACATGTTACCCAGTGTTATTCCTCAGACGAATGGTGATGTCTGTGCTTTCATCTTAGCTTCTGGATCTGTCGAACGTAACAAGTAACTTTCATTTAAATGTTTAAAGAAACGTACAAACAGTATGCAGCTAGTAGCTTGCCTTCAAAAATGCTATAGTCTGTTTCTACGTTTTGTCATAGCGTAGGTGTGTCGTTGTTTTTGCAACTACCTCGTCAATCCTAGTATTAAATATCCTAGTAGCATAATCTGTTTCAATATTATTGTCACTATTATCAATGGCTTGATTCAATGTGGTATACTTTGTACACTTGGTTTATGCACCTGAAAAGAGGTCCCACGAAAGTCGTTTATTTAGAAACGTTCCTTGGGTAGCCATCCATAAGAGCGTTAAAGCTTTAAGCTGTCTTGCATTAAGCGGTTCTGGGTAGGTCAGAATATTAGTCAGACCATGAGATTGGTCATAATACTTATTTTTACTTCATTTGACTGTTCCCTGTTGTTATTACATATGTGTCTTATCTTCTAGTTACTATATGATAAACAATATTTGACTGGAACATAAACAGAAAGGACAGCAGGGAGAAGAAGAGCGTCTTCCATGGAGCCTAACACAGGTCAGAAAGACTGCTCCTTGACATTTAGTCTTCTCATAACTTGGGGAGACTGATCAACCGGACGAACCCAAAGCATATCGTTCTTTTTAATGCTCCTTGACTTTGTAAAGGCGCTTGGCTCGGCACCACTTGTGCTCCTCACAGAGAAGGCTGTTACAATGGTTTTATTTGACCAACCTCTATTCTGGCTACAAAATTACTTTTAAAACCAGATGTTAAGCACTAAGACAATGTGTTGGTCTGTATTCGATATCATCCTGAAACTTTGTACATCGTTCGTCCTGGTAACCGTTACTCAATAACGGCCCAAATCAGAAGGCGAATACGAAGTGTCGATTACGTTTATTATCGAACCACGCACAGATATCCAAAATTGCAGACATGTTAAGCAAGCATGCAAGAGTAGTGCCGAAAAGCAAGTGAGTGAGCATGCGAGCTTGCGAGCTTGCGAGCGAGCGAACAGGATTAAAATATACATATATATACATATGGAAATGAATGAATCATCGAATCGATTAAGCAATTGATAGTAAGGCTAGCAGAATGAATATATGCGTAGACAGCAAGCAATGCTGAAGCATACATATTCATACAAGTGCAGCAGTAATAAAGGTAAAATAGTATAGATTATTTGTTACTGTACGA